TCGTATTCCAACAAAAAACGATTATGCAATTGATGAAATACGTAGTGTTATAATGGAAGTGAAATAAAGGTACAAAACGCTACAAGCCCCACGCGTCCCTTTGCTGCACAATTTTGAGTCCTGTGGGATTCAGGGATAAATTGTACGCTAGAATGGGACATCTTCATGAAGCAAAACGAAAGTGATTCAACCTACTTTCCTCTGGCGTCGGTCTCCATCGGAATCCCCAAGCATCGGTTTGGGGACAACTTCCGTACCTGATCTAAGTTAAAAACCTTCTAGGTGTTTCACCAAGGACATGTCTACTTTTTGGAGTCATGGAAATCAAAGCTAGTGCCTTTCAAGTGGGCGTAGACGCTGCAAAGCAAAGGGGTCGTCGGAATAGCCCATTCTTCAGAAGGACGGAAACCAAATCCTTACATCATTCGGACGCCTTTCTCATGCTTGTTGAGAACTGACCGGATGACAGTAAGAGGACGGATGTTAAACGCGCTTTGCGTTGCCTTACCTATTTCCCCAGCATTATTTCTGCCTACGAGGAGACCTACTGCTTACTTTTGCTCAGTTTAAACAAGGTTTAGTCAACGGGATTCTCACGGTTAATCTACCTAACACACAGCGAAGAAATGGCTATAAACAAGTTTTAAAGCAAGTTCTAAGTGCCATCTGTAAGCCACCCAGCGACGAGAACCATGAGAAAATATAGTGAAAGCCATGGCACTCGGTTCCCATTTGGGGACCACGAACAGTTAGGACAAGATTTTGATGATTCCCACTTGGCATTGTGGAAGTCAGGTTTTTTATTTTTAACAATTAAATGGGACTCAAACGTTTGGACTGGTGCTCAAAACTCAGCTGCCCGTTTGCTTCAGTCCATCAGGGAGACATCATAACTTTCGAAAGTTCAATTCCACTGTGAAAATGCTGAGCGCCCAAACCAAGTGACAGCTGATTGGTGTGATTAGTTGAAGGATTCAAAGGCATTCCTCGTTTACAAATATACCTAAGAGAGCTGGCTCATCTATGGAATCAGAGCCGGTGCTTGTCCGGCATAAGCAATTTAATCAAACTCGTGTGCAAAATGTGTTTGTAAAAATTTTGTGATTCTGAATGTGTGCTCAAACAAAATAACAGTATAATCTGCCTTACTCTCGTCTGAATTAGTTTTAATTGGCTTACATTGGTAATTTTGATTGGACGTCTTGGAATCCGAGCCACACGTTTGTCGCCCACACCAGCTAGATTTCCCTTTTTGTAGTGAGCAGGCAGCGGGCATTTTCGACTGAGTTACAGCCTTCCGGATTTAGGGCGGGGTTCAATGGTTAGCTGCTCATATTCTACATCTCTAACCCCGAACTGGCTGGCAACCCCCGGTGGAAGGCTACAGAAAGCCTGTTATCCTTCGCCGTTTGTAATGGAAAACTATACTGCCTGTATAAAGTACTTGAATGTGATAACAAACAGTTTATCAGGAAACTCAACCAAGGGACATGGGGCACATAAAATTTGACATATTTGAACGTTTTACCGGCTTAATGGAATACTGTAGATGCGATTCGTATATTGAAAGCAATGTGTTCTTCGGAAGCCAGTGTTTCTCGTAATAACCCTCCAGACTCAGGAAGAACCAGGCCTTCACAACCGTCTCCTTGAACAGACGATGTCAGAAGAAATACAGTACTGACCCCTCCGGTATATTTTGTGTCAACGAGCGTACTGTGGGTCGTGGCAAGTTCAGTGGATTAATATGGCTGCATAACAACCTGCAAGTTTCCCCATTGAAAGCTGATCGCATTTTCCGGCAAGCACTGTTTTCCAGTACGAGGTATTTGTTTACCCTGAAAAATAACTCGCTTTGACAAATCGCCCATACGGATAAGCAACAGAAAATTCAGTGGAGGAAGGCGGTTTCAATTGTGTAGTGGTCAAATCGAAACCACCATAGTTCCCGAGAGATAATTTCCATTCGCCGGGTATCGGTCGGCAAATTAAAGGCTCCTTTTAAGTCGAGACTAGGCGGCGTGAGTCTGTTGAAACAATACGATATAAATGTTCATTTCAAAGTCATCAATGCACGATGGCTTCCTCGCTGCAAACACGAACAAGATCCGTATGTTAACAAAATTAGGGCATGCCGTGCATAGATGAGTAAATTTGTGTTGTCGACTCAAAGTAGTGTCATATAGGGGCATCAGGTCATTTGACGTCGACGGAGACGCATGCTGTTTTATGATAACAGATCACCCCCCACCATGCACCTTCGGCTAACCGGTTAGACCTTCCCTCACTTTTGCTTTATTGTCATTTGTCAAAACTGGCCAGAATCTGTCACGCTGAGGAGGCTTATCGGATTAGAATAAGTTTTCCTCAAGAATCTTAGAACTGATCTGTCGCTAAAGTTTATTCACACAACATGACAATCACTACATCTGATGAGGCGCAGTAAAGACGAGGCCTAAGTGAGTGGGCTTTTCAGAATCAGATCACGAGTTTGCACATCCTGCCAAACCTAGGTCTATTTCTTGGTCAACATTAGGGGGCGAGATCACTCAGTGGTTAGAGCACAAATTTGCTGACCGGAAGGTCCGCGTTCGCACCCGACCTCTGCCTCTCGACTTCCTCTGTCTAGACTTGGGCAACCTGGCACTATCCCAGCCTTCGTGGTTCCCTCTGGTGGCATGGCAATTAGACACCGGAAGGGTGCTCAGCTGAACGATTGGGTCCTCAGTAAGAGCCGATGGCGAACTCGTTAGAGTGAGGTAGCTAATCACCGACGGTAAATATTCTATGAATAAAATGTCAACAACTGGATGGACCTGAATTCACACCTAATTCATACTCGATGGCTGTGTGAACCGAAGGGACCGTGGCCATCAAAAGGAAACTTCGACGATGGAGTTACATTCTTAATTCATGTGCACCCACCTAGTGAATCGTGCTAAGGACGAAGGGTTCTGTATGCTTGAAATGTTCGTTACCCTGAATCTCAGTAGCCCTATCCTGACGTTGATGTACACTAAAAGTACAACCCGATTTTTGAGAATCTGGACCAGTCTATGGAGGCCGTAACAGTGACATCCTTACGATTCCCATACCGACTGCCATAGGAAATGCATTGTTTGTTTCGAATACGGGAAGATCCAAACAAAGATGAACGAAATCGAAAAAAACTGGACGTTTTTCATGTGACGAGTTGGATAAAAATGGTTAAATAACAGCATTAACGATGAAAACATCAATCTCTAGTGACTTCGTATTAACGTGGTTCGCCAATGCGTCTGGCAGTAATAGCTGCTTAACGATGTGAACGAAGTGAAGCCAGAATGAGGTGTTGACGTGATACCCAAACAGATACTTCACTTGATGTGACTTTCAACCACGTGTGGAACAAGATTTAATTGAGATGGCGTGAACTTCTCCGGTAGGCAATCTACCCGAACTAAAATAAGGTTTTTACTGTCAGTCTGCATCAAGACTGTAGGTGTCACAACACCGAAAGAATACTGGCCAACCATCGAACTTTCGTCCTCTCCTCTATTCTATCCTGCTGATGACTTTTGGAACTGTACCTGTCATGCGAAAATTTGAACGGTCATCACGTTTTGTTCCCAGACTTTAGATGCTAAACCAAGGGAAGTAGATCGAAGCAAATGAAGTACTGGAGTTGGAAGAAAGGATAGATGCACTACATGTGCCTTTCTCCTGCTCTCCGAAATTGGAACAGTGCCACGTGACAACGTATTGCGGATCCATACGAAGAAGAACACGTGTCAACTGGTGCTGACGTTGGTAAATAAAAACAATAGGTTTCCCAATAACCCCTGAAAATTTGAACGCTCATCACAAGTGCTTTCCTGACGTTCTCTTCTTCAAATATCAACAAACAACACGTCTGAAGGAACAATTTAACGTGTTGTGTTTTCCCCTAATATGTCCCGTGTTTGGCCTGCCAAATATCAACTGATCAGGCATTCTTATTGACTGATTGTCATTCGGGTGTTAAGCTCCCAAGAATGATATGTCCAACTTGCTATCGTTTGCTTGAATCAAATGTTTATGCATCATCGGTTGGCAGATTTTGCGTTTCTTCCCAAATTTACGTCATGTTCCAATATAAAGCACTCGGTAGAGAGGCTGCTCATGTTTGTCTTGGTTTTAAAGAGCAGTGCGATGAAGAGAGATACAAGCTACCTGCCTAATGCTAAGATCTGTGCGACACGAACGATGGGTTGTTTGTGATTCGAAGTTCAACTTAAGAGGGCATTCTGGATTTTCACGCTGTGATGCCAGTTCCATGCTGGACTACAGATTTCCCAACGATGATGTTTTTTTTCCATAGAAATGTCCGACCCCCCATTACGCATGTATCAAATGATGTGTAAAGCAGCGCTTTCCGTCAAATGTTGTATTTCTGAAGGGCGTCTCCTTTGTGAGATACCTATATGAGGTTGCTGAACAGTTGACCGACTTAACCTTGGGACGAATTTCCCCCGAATACACGCTGCCCAGGAACGGCGATCAGTCGTCTCGCCTTTTACACAACCTAATGCTCAACTGATACCTTATTGTACTGGATACACGTGAACTACGGAGGACGTACAGTTCGGTGTAGAAAGCATTTCCACCACATGATGTTACCGCTACGTGAACGGGTGCATTGGTCCCAAAAAAACTGGCCAAGCCCACTCATAATTAAGATATGCGAGCTGTCGTCCAGTGTCAGCTAGTTGGAGCAAGGCAAAAGACATTGGTCGTTGACCATCAACGGCCCAAAAATTCATTCTCCTTGGATACCTTGTCGTAGTAGGACTATTGAGCACATTGTCCCATGGGTCGGCAGACAATAGTCGTTGAAATGAACTGCGTAAGGTCTGAAGCCATTGAAGATATACCTGGGTGCAATCCATTTCAAAAGATATTTTACAAGTTCTTAACGAGTGAATTAAAACTAGGCGTATAACTCCAACAACACTCAAATACCGTAATGCCTTTTACTTGCTCTCGAGGTCATTTGGAAGGTAGAAAAAGACAGATGATAACCAAAGGCGAAAATAGAAAACAGTCGAACGGAAGTTGTGAAATCTGTATTTACATGGGGTGGAGAAATAGACTGCTGCAGAAAAAATCAAGGAGCTGGAAGTACGTTGAAACTGCCATTGGACAAGCCATCTTCCCAAAACCAATGTAAGGTACCCTGATCAAAGGCCATTAATGTTGGTCCGTTGGAGAGTAAACCACCGGGATCGGACCAATTTGGCCGAAAGAATAAAACGGGTGGTGGGGTTGATGCTTGTCGTACATTCATGGAAGGTATTTCTATTGTGTTGATTGGCTCCCCTGTACGTAGGTTCCAAATACCAATGTGTCCAGATGCCAAAAGCGGTGATACAACCATATTACAATCAACGGGAGAGACAGTCGGCACCAGGGGTTGATGAGAAGCAATTTCACAAAGAGTACGGTTGCTCTCCACAGTTGCAGAGCCATGGTAGTTCAAAACTGGTCCTGCGGGCCAACGATCGTCCCAAAGCTGAAGCAAGCCAGAACGGCGCCCAACAAGCAAACCAAAACGATCCCCGCCAGCGGTCACGAGGGACTGGAGAAACGTTATGTCTGTCGATTTGTCCGTGTGCCGTTGGCACAACTTGAAACGGATGAGAAATTTGCTCAACCTTCTTTGTGTACGGCTTGCCTCAACCAAGTCTAGCCACAGTGCCCCTTGATGCGTGGCGGCCACATAAAACAGCCCGTTGGACGCATCAATGCTTTCCTTTCTGGTGGAAGTGGTATGAGCGCAAGCAGTAACCGCAACTGGCGAAGATTTCCCAGTAGAACAGTCACGCGGTATTGGCAAATGCAATTGGGAGTAACCGCCCCCCATTCTGTAGCGTAAAATCTCACTTCGACTGTATATGTAGAGCGGCACTCTGCTGTTCTCACTGGCCTCGATGGATAAGTAGGGAGTGGCAAATTGTATGGATTTACTCGTTGCGAATGTCAACTGAATACTGTCTGCTTCTCTGGGGATTGCTGTGCCTAGAAAAAATGTGATAGAAAACGAGGAGAGGAATCAGTCGACTCACAGGTGCATAGCTACGAAGGCAATATAAAGAATGGTGAAGGAAAATCCAGAGATCCATGTGGTGCAGTGAGACCTGATACATAGACAATACACTAAGTGTGGATCTATAGAGCGCCCTCAGTCGAAGACAGCGAAAATGTCCTAAATCATCGACAGCACAGCTTACACAATCTGCATAGTCTGTGTATAATCATAGTTGACTAGAACAATAGTCAACAAGAGAGATTATCAAACTCAATAAAACGTCCATCCCGTACTGTCGTGAGAAGTTAGGCTAGTTTATGGGTATTAAACTACCGCATAAACACTACCTGTATTGATTAAATGGTGACCATCAGTCGAATTACGGTGAGCGTGCTGGAGCAGTAAAAAGAATCCAATCTGAAACTCATTGAGGCATTCGGATACCTCATTCAACCGTTCTCCTTCTACTGGCATGAAAACAAAGTTTCGCTATCCGTTACCTCCCACAATTTTTAGAAGAGGACACAAGGTGGTCCATCAACTGTAGCCCAGCCAGTGTGTGATCACTCAAAGAGAATTCATCACCGCAGGACAAGCTACTTTTCATTTTGGTGTATTGGACGACTTGCGTCAGCACCTTTAGTAGTCCATGCACTTCCTCTGGAATGAAAACAATGACATCTGTATTTTCTAGTTCGCTTCACTGCATCATCGGTAACGAAATTAAAAAGGGATAGATTGAGCACACGGATTAGACACCACTGCTTGTAAGAAAGTCGTTAGAGAGCGCCACACAACCACGCGCTCACAAGTGAATACAACGAACGTGCGGAAAAATACTACGGACTGGAACCACGAGACTCAATGATGACCAATGACTAGTCACGATTGTGATAAGCAACCTGACCAAACCATCAGCTAGACGTATCGTGCTTAGATTTAAAACGAGTAGTTACTTGATCCATGGGCCCGCCAGCTGAAGCTAGACGCGTGGAGATCAGAGCAAAACTTCATCCCCTTGGTGCGATTCCACGGGGCTACAACCACTGACTGAGTGAGAAACGCGCACTACAAGTTACAAAAAATATGGGACCAGATAGGTTTTCAGACTAAAACTTACGTCTGGTGAAGTGTAGCACGGTGTCTCATTGGAGCGTGTGATTGACCTCGAGGTTTCGCGCTCCTTGAGCACTTTGAAAAAACGATCCAACAATTGATGAACGTGTTGTGCTCTCTGTGGTCCCGAATTACACGTGGAACTGGCATTTGTGACAAAGGATACCAACGAGTCAAGAATGGTGCGGCTGATGGACGGTTGGAGACTGGTAAGAAGGACGGCGTCACTGGTGAAACATCGCCGAACAGAACGACTAAACGAAACGAAAAGGAAGAAGCAAAGTGGCAGAGGAGACAATGAACTGATGCAGTCACATAGGGCAGAGGAACTCATTCTCCTTGTTTGATTCACTCGCTGCTCGGTTGTACCCTTTCTTAAGGCGATTGGGTACAACTCGCGCGCAGTTATCTGGTCCGGTGGCAACGAGGTCCGTTGCCTATGACTCGCCTAAAAAAACAGCGGGGACCGACAGTTGCGAAAGGTTGTGCGCTACACAAATCACTCGGCCTCCAGAAGAACTACAACTACAGTGAACAACTACAGTGAACACTCATCATTTATGTGTGTCGGAATGCTTTATTAAAACCGTAAACATCGAACCACCTCAGAGGCTCCTTCACTGCGTGGTTCCCACTCGCTACTCCTAACTAACCATGGGGAAAACTGACTGCAGTTCAGTCATCGCGATTCCTTCAGGCTGCCTAAAGGATGGTTGATAGCCTGTTCACTTCCAGTTGGGCGCCGATTTTCTCATGCTAGCGGTAGTTTGTGATGCACATTCACCCAAGTTAGAACCTATGGGGCCCTTTCGAGACGCCGCTATCTTGTTCGATGCACTTTAAGTTGGAACAGAGTCTTGGGTATAAAGTAGTAAGGATGATGTTACTTCTGAAAAGTAATCTACATCAGGTTTCATCCCCATTTGAAGCCACTACGTCAGTGCAAAAAGACAGTTTGCGTCCTCTTCGTCGATAGATTTCACCATTTAGCACAGCATCAAGCCGTCAGTAGCCAGGGGGATATGTTACCGATCCGGTCATGTCTACCTGGTTAGTTCCAATCTCACATAAAGCGTAGTGGATTGCCCAGCTGCCCTTCTTCAAAGTCCCGCATTAGTTAGCAGCTAAAATTTGCACAGACCGGACCTTACCACTTAGGAGTGACTGCAAAATCCTGTAACTGGCTGGACGATGGTCTGGGGAAGATGAGGAACCACTTTTCCTGGTTTTCTATCAAATACACTTACTTTCCCATTCCGTCATTTTTTTACGGGATAACGTCAATTTGTGCACTATGCGTCTGCAATTTATTCTTCTGGAATGGATTTAGGCACAATTAAACGTGAAGCATACAAATCTGGCTGAGTCGATTACCAGAAACGTTCTCTACTTCCACAGGAAATCCAGACCGAATAACGCCACCCCGACTTGAGGAACAGACGCACAAAAACACATTTTGAAACGATGCGGTACATGTACACCGTAAGAAGCGCGAATAAGAAAGACATTTTCGGCATCACGGGCGAATGGGCACCCAACTGAAGATGGGAGTTATCCAAACAAACTCAGCGAGATTGACCTGTACGGGAAGTTCTGCGTAGGGCAAAACTGACTGGAAATGCCGTTTAACTATTGGTCTGGTCACAACATCCACTGCTCAGACTTGGTCGCATGAATATCGGCGTCCATCACATAAAAATAGGAGCGGTGATTTCACGTCGTTGTACACAAAGTTTTTATTTGGGATCTGGAATACTCAAGCATGATGTGGTCTCTGCGAAAGTGGTGCCCCCGTTTTGAGCGACCTGCACTTGTGAGGGCCACGACCGTTTACTAAGTGTTTAGTAACCACAACCACTAACCCACCGCTACGCACAACTACGCACTGATGATGTCACCTCGATTGGTGATGAAACGTTTGCAACCAAATTGCCCAGCTCAGCGAACAAGCCAACGACCATCTACGCCACCTGAGCTACCGACATTCTCCTCTATAGTAAACAACGAACGTGTAGCACTCCCAATTTTCTGGACCAAGCTGTCGAACGAGGGCGCTGAGATGAACAAACCGGTCAACGCAACAGAATGCACCCATGGAGTCAAGAATGGCAAGGAGCTACCGACATTCTCCTCTATAGTAAACAACGAACGTGTAGCACTCGCGATTTTCTGGACCAAGCTGTCGAACGAGGGCGCTGAGATGAACAAACCGGTCAACGCAACAGAATGCACCCATGGAGTCAAAGAATGACAAGACTGCATAGTGCCCATACGCATGCCGTTGCTCCAACAATTGTAGGTGTGTGAAGATGTGGTCTACACAACCTCTTCTCGACCAAAATCCTCCTTGTTGTTCCCGAGTCTCGTCAAGCAATATGAAGTTAGCGATGCAAAAGCCTAGTTATTATGGGCCGATCTAATTCCCCTGTAACTGCAATACTCGATACCATGCCTTTTTGAAAGTGAGCGAAACTGACGGCTCATTACAAATCGCAGCCGAGCAATAAATCTATAGCTCACGAGCCAAGAAAGGTGCAACCCGCTGCAGCGGTTTTAAAATCAGTTGAAGCTCGTAGGTCGTCACATCTCGACAGTCAGCGATCGATCTGCTTAAAAATTCTCACGCTGAAGGGTGCGGTAAAAACAGAACGAGGGACGAATATCGGATACGAAGCAGGTATAAGAAATCGCAGGTTCCAAGTTCACTATCCAGGGCCCCATTGCAGGTTGAGAATGTGACTGATGAATTACAAGTGGTTAGTTGAATTGTTGAGTGTTTAGCAGAGCTTCATGCGATTTTTTTTACAGACGAGGGGGCCATTTTGTCATTGACAGTTTTGCTCACTACGGGCCTGTTAGCTTGACGCGCATATCAGCTGGAATATTTTGCGTACATTTGAGGTTTCTCACTTCCTACATCTCCTGTGTCTTCTGAAATTCACCGAGCTTCTCTACACGAGCAGGCGCTCCTTTTCACCTGATACATGAGGGGTCATCGAGCTGCGTTATGCTCTCGGGAAGGAACAATAAATGTCCCGACTTCCAGCATTTTAAGTGTTGCTCCAGACAATGTTTAGATCTAGTTGGTGGCACAATTACAAAAGTGGAGTGTCCAGTATTTTACAGGGTTACGGAGAGTACACACAAATACGTCAACATCATATGTATTGTCCGAAGGGGACTAAAATAGGTGGTCTTGGTGTTTGCTTCACATTAAGGTATGAAAGCTTCTCAGTGGTTACGCAGAACGAGCGATATTAAGCAACTGATCTGCGCCACCTACAGCTAATCGCGATGTTTAGGAGACCACCGTGTGGCCAGGCAGTTTTCTTGGGAGCCAGTAGGACATAGAGAGTCTGTGGTGAGCACATGATTGCAGCAGGCTTTCACCCTTGTCCGTGCGTTCCGACCGCAGTTCAAGATTACCACTCATTTAGGTCTACGCGGTGCTAAGTCAACCTAATTGAATATTCATGTTCCTGGTAACCACAAAAATCATCATCATCATCGACAGCATGACATCAGTGCTCAACACGGATGCTTCACTGCCGTACACTACAACAATAACTGGTCCCTTTGCCCGCCGCTTTAATCACGCTCAAAGCGAAAACTATCTTTGAGAGTGTGGGGACTACAATTCAAGCGGATACAATCAAAAGGCAGCGATTACTATCACGTTTACGGCACGCTCAAACGGATCATATCAAACGAACTGCAGGGAGGTAAACATTCCCGGCGGAACTAGTCGCGGCGGCTTCTGGGTCATCAGACGTGTGTAACTAGAAGAGCAAAAGTCGATGAGGAGGCCATTTCAACAACCGTAGCTGGGTCTCGAAGCTTCGGCTAGAAGGGATAGCACACAACAACAGAAAGCGAGTCCAGCATATATGCAAGAGCAGTCAGTCTATTACCTAAATTGTATGAGAGTGCGAACGCAAAAGGCTTTCATATAAACTGAGTGTAGGGATTTAAGGAACGGCTTAGCAGTGCCGGCGGCTGAGTTAAGTATAAGTATTACAGCCAACAGCTATGTATGACGAACAGGTTTATCGGTCGTTAAGAATGGGTCATCGGAGATGTCGTTAACAACGAGGGACGATTAGGGTCCTCAATCAAAGCACCTGACTCAAAAGCTATATTGTAAAGCAGTTGTGGTTACCGTAAGACTTTCCAATGACTTAATGAACGGGTTGCCACACGTGTTCCAATCACCAAAACTGGAGGAACAGGGGACTGGCTTAAGAAAACTACTAATTGGTCAAACTTATATGCAAGCTTCCCAGTAAACGGGTTATGGAGGTGCACACTCTGCTATACCGCAGTTAGATTCAGCCCTTTCGTGACATCATTACTATTCTCGAGTGGAATTTAAACCCACAACACTCGTTCTGAAAGGATACAGAATGTGGATACCATGGGAATAAAATATAAAAAAAAATAAAATAAAAAAAATGTCCGTAAATAGACAAGAGAGAAAACTTGCCATAAGTTCAGCCAAAAATCGTACTAGCACACTTACCCTCGACACACAGGACATGCAGAATGGCCTTTGGGGACCAGTGAGAGCCCCCAAGTAAGCCTATCTTGCGTCCGGGAACCACCCAGGCCATGTTAGAAGCAAGAAAATTAAGTGAGAGTTTTGTGACCTCCTTTGCGCGAAATCCTCCAAAAACAGCGCGTCGCACTGCCCTGGACTGTCGATCGTAGGCGGTCGAGTAGCTTGCTAAGATACAGATCTGATCAGGACCTGGCTGTAATATGTACAGATATCGACCATCAGGAGAAAACAGAGCACGACCGGCACCGATGCTATTGTCGGATAACTTGGGACTCAGGTTTTTCACCCGTGCGTGTATCAAATCCGAGTCTGTGCAATGGGCAGAAAGATGATCCGTTAAGCTGTGAACAGTGGTTAATACGCATTCTACTCTTCATCAGGGAAAAAAGCACCCGTCAATGGCCGACAGGAAACAACCAAAGAATGTTAAACTTCACCACATGTCGTTTAAAAACTCAGTCCAGCCAGATGGAGGAGTTTAATATGACTTCCTTTGACAGAATCAGTCGACCAAATTTGGACCAATATCTTACTTTGTATTGGAGTTATAGCTCTATAGCTCCTTTACAAAATTAGTCATGTTGTTGTCAAATATTTTTTGCAGTTTGTGCAAGCTAAAAGTTCGATACAGGATCGGATACAACAGTAGAATCTTTCCTCCTCACACTTGTGGTGCAGTGCCACAAGTCATCGTGAGTTCAGCCCACGTTAGCTTTGTAGCAAAAAATTTAGCAACCCCATCGTAAGCTTCGTTTTTACTGTAGCTGACCCTTAAAATAGGAACAGCAAACTCAAGACTGAATCGGTCACTTATTCACTTACATATCATGCATGCTTACACCAGCTGTCGATTGAGAATGAATATTATGAGCGACTATGGATTATTAGAGCTGCGTAGTGAAGGCAATGTCTAAAATACCACTAATTGCTACTCACTGCTTCGTTGCATCAATCAGTTCGGTTTATCAGATCACATGATCAATTAGGTGGTGCTGAGTAAGTTTAGTTAGTTGAAAGGACGGGAAGCTGGTCATCTACTCATTGAATACGATGACTTTGACACGGGAGCGCCACTGGTTGCGTGACCGAGCCACGCCTACCAGTGCCATTAACCACTGATAAGTTGACTTTCAAGGTTCCCATCTAGGGAAGTGCAAGCTGTCAATCCTGTGATCAGTCAAGCTTCGAAGGATAAGGCCAAAGGGCATCCCCATTCGCCCGTATACATGCTCTCCACAAGCTGGGTGCAGGAGGCCAGCTAAGCTGTTCTCTAAAGTGTTAAGCCCATCTTTCCAGTCGACGTTTTTCCTGGCATCAATTAAAGATATCGACCTCGACGACATGCAGTAGCCTTGTGGTCGAATTGAAGAAGTCGGACAGGCAGCACTGAACACAACTCCTTTCACATTTTGCCACGCTTCATCCGCATGCTCACTGCCACCACAGTATTGGTTTGGTGTGGAGGGTTGTTTGGCTAGCTCAGATCGATACTGTTGAGCTATGGTAGTTCTTCGAAGGCAGTGGATTGCCATGCTTCTTGATGACTTACAAAGAGAGACGGACTGCCAGGCGTGAACGCACCATGGCGTGATCGGAATCAAGTGGTGTGCCCCAGAAGGAACGGCAGTCTTGAATTGGTAGCTAAGGACCACGTGATCCAACTGAGTTAACGGTTTATTTGCAATTAATGGCCACCAGGTTACGCGATGCGAAAGTTTATGCTGAAGGTTCGCGCTGACCAGAAACAGTTGGGGGATTCGCTCTCCGTTGTCTGTGCGACGAGCATCGACTCCGAATCGATCGCCCAAATGCGATTTCAAAGATTTCATGCGACCGAATTGTAAATTAATATCCCCGCAAGTATCACAAAGACGGTACTTCTTGCTTGACGAATAAGCCCGGATAACTCTCTATAGAAAATAACCCTCTAAGAGTCAGAACTGCAGTCCATTGGGGCATAAGTCAACAGTATAAACAGGCACTGCTTTTTATGACGACAGACTTTCAGCTTGATAACCGGACGACGCCAAGACAACTGTTTACTGAGATCCAGTCAAGCAAAGTGCGTTCACCTCTGGAGCTGAGCACAACTCCCACGCCATATATTCCATGAGTTATTGCTTCTGGATCACCGGACACAGAGGGAGATATGGGAGAGAGCTGAGTTTGTCTTTGGTGTTCTGAGATGCATAACCATGTTTGAGTCTTGCATGTGCTTCGAAGACACAGCATACATCAATTTTGAGGGAGTACAAGGTTTCAGCGAGCATTGCCTGCTGTCCCTTTAACAGAGTACGGAGGTTGGAAACTCCTTCATAGAAAGATCTCGTGGATTTTGAAAGGTGTTATTTGGTTTATTGTTAATAGGCAGCGAGAAGCACCTGTCAGATAACTACTGATAGTCAAATGACCCAGTGACGTTTGCTTGTATGGTGGGAAAGGATTTGGGAGGGACATAGGTGGACACAAAACTGTGCGGGCAAACGATACTTCCCGGTTGCCCAGCCGGAGGAATTGGATTGAGGTACCGTACCGCACCTTGAGCCTTTGATTAAAAAGTCCGACCCACAAGGTAGTGGGAGGATGTAGGGTTTTGTTCGGGGACCCTTATCATAGCCCCCGACTCAAAAGTATGAAAGAGAGGCAGCTGTTTTTAGGGTTTTCTTGAGAAGTCTTTCCCGGATACATTGACTTAATAGTCTACTTGGCTGCAGAGGACAAGTCTGGCTAGAGGACGCAGGAAGTGAGGTATTACTGTCGCATCCCTAATGAAGGTGCACACAGCAGGTGTCTTATGAGCAGCAAGTAACTCTCGCCGGCGGTCACGACCAACCATTGAGCGATCGGAGTGTGCAGTTTTTAGGGCCGACTCTTTCTAGCCTGTCCTCCCTCAGGGGAAGGCAGCATCGTCGCTTCCATGAATAGGGATATGCTGGTCACCTGGGGGAAAACACTTTACTCCTTCACACTTCTATCGCAGAGGAAATAAGTACGACTTAACCCCTAGACCGCCTCGAAGCACGACTACTCGTAGTACGGGGTCTCGCTGCTTTTGGTGTGACTGCTCCCCTTTGGCCTTCCTGGAATGGTTACCCCTTGTGGAACGACGTTCCAGCCACTATAGCCCACGGGATCATTAAAGTGCTCAAGCCCGACCACCACGTCAAGGTGGCAGCTTTAGGTCTGGTGCTCTTAGAGAAAATGCAGTACAATCATAAACCCTTCTAGTTACGGGACCATACCCAGAGAACAGCCATGGTTACAACCTTGTGTGGACTCTGTTCACCCACACAATCTGCATTA